TCACTTCAGAAGACGCTTGCATTTTCCCTTGATTCAGCATAGTGGACCATCCTACATAGCTGAGCTGTCCGTTCGGCGACACAGCAGCTTTTTTTACGCACAATTTTTTCAGGTATCTGTTATTTAGACAACTACCAAGATAGTGGATTGTGGATTCCTTGATCGCGCTGATTTTGTTCGCAACTGATTTGGCGATTGTCACAGTAATCTTCAAAAATGATATCGAAATAGCGTACACTCACGATAGAGCGATATTTGTAATATGATGAATAGTACAATGCGAATTGATGGTAGGTGGGTTGAGGGGGCACTAGTGAGAGGAAGGGCAGTACCTCGGCGCTGCGAGCAGTTATTAGGTTGGAAGGAAAGTTCTGAAACACTCAATTCGCGCTCTTTCTGGATTTCTCCCGAATGCTCTGGAATCTTCCATGGGTGGTATATAGTAGGAGTGGACCGTGCTACGTACGGTGATCAAATCAGCTTTCCCAATAATGGCGTTTGCATCGCACTAAATCAACTTTTCCCGCGAGACACTCCGAGCGCTCATCCTGTGCGAGCTTCGCCTAAAGATATCTGCGCACAAGCTCGCCCTGTGCGAGTTTCGCCTAAGATCTGTCCCACAAGAGGCGCACAGAATCAGTCCCGGGATAGGCTAGGGCACGTTTTCTCACATGGCGGTTTCAGCTTGGCTCGAACGCTCCGCAGCGAAGACTTTGATCTTTCTGACGCAGCTCTTGACCTCGTCACCGCTGTAATCAAAGGTGATTCTAGGCAATCGTCACACAAGCTGACGGAGCGTCTTGAGTGCTTCCAGAAGCCCGTCCTCTGGGCTCTTCAGGAGTTTGACAGGTCTTGGAAATGTGGTCAATAGGTACCGCACGATTTCACCGGGTGGACATCTGCACATGTACTTCTCGTCGCACAGCAGCAACGATAGGCCGTGGCATGTGGCCATTGGGACAAGAGTACCGTCTGCTTTAACCATATGCGACAGCAGCAGCGGCTTGGAGTATGGGAAACTGGAGTTACAATGACTTGAAAATTATGGGGGGATGGTGATGCTGTCAAATTTTTGGAATTTTGACGGTATTTCCCACGGGTGATGCTCTGTCTGCAGGATTGACGAGTACAAGGGCTACACAATGCTAGCTGCTCGAAAAGATTGCAGAAAAGCTTCGCCGAATATAGCGACAAGTCAACCTGCTTCACGACAACGCGCAACGTCGCGGGTGTTCGGTCTCAAGCCACAAGACTCTGAAGCCAGGCAGGACCGCGGCTGCCCGTCTGCCATATTCGTCAAACCTATCTATACACCTCTTCAACCTTTCCTGCTCGCTTGCTCATTACCTGGAGAACAGGAAGCTCGACGACGTAAACGAGCGCAAATCCGACTTCAAAAGGTTGTTTGACAAAAATTCTTCCTAATTTCTACAAATGTGGTGTCACCAATTGCCCGAAGGTTGGCGTAGTGTTGCTGAGTCTGATGGTCAATATGTTACGGGTCTTAGAATAAAACAAAGAATAAAAAATAAATTTCAAATTTTGGCTGCGGGGTGTTTCAGAACTTTCCTTCCAACCTAATATTAGATTGTCTCATAAATAGTGTCGCTTTTTTTCAACCAAAAAATTTTCATCTAAATCCCCATGCTTTTACATCGAGTCATATACCATTCGAAAGAGAATTGTCTGCTCTACAAGAATGTTGTGTTCTTCTTCCATCTATGTTCCATGGTTTTCAAATTTAGCGTAAAGGAAGTCCGCGAATAAATTGATCACGCTAGGTTGCCGAAAAGGTTTCGCCACACGTTTCTTTTCGACTGGCCGATCTGATAGCATGCAATATTCAAATTTTTTTTTTTGAAATCTATCACGAAAACGCTAATGTTTTATATACTGGTTGTGACTCAATTCTTCTGCTTATTTCCATTTGCTGTTTTAATGGTGTTTAACAGTACTCGAATTTTAGTTGTAGGATAATTATGCTTTATCCACAAACGTGCCACATTTCTTTGAAAAAATTCTACTAGTTTTTCAATGTCTCGGCTTAAAAAAATTTCGACCTCGATCTCAGGTAATGGTGCTTGACCGTCGAGTTCTGGTTGAAAAACCAGGTCTGGAAATGGAATGACGCGACTTGTTGGGAAACCTAATAGTGTAATGTATTAGAAGAGATCATGCATAAGTAGAGGGTACAGTATGTGATTCTCTTCAGGGAAGCAAGTTAGAGATAAATATTGTCGTTTGGTCATTTTTTGTCACTGGACGCCTCCATTTGATCCTAAAATTTGAATCCCGTGCCATAGAATGGGAGGGAAATTACACTAGAGCAGATGATGTCTTTCGAAAGGTAATATACATTTAAACCATGGATATAGATTGAATTTTTGTGAAAAAAAAACACATTTATGAACATCGAACTCATTGAAGCATCTTCTGCTTCAGTTACTATAAAAAATGGAGTAACACATTGGAGCGCAACCCTTGTTTCAGCACTTAGTGTGACAAACGAAACACCTTCGTTTGTCACAGGCGCACAATAGTGCAAATCAATAATAAATAAATACATATCATAGTGCACTGTCAACAAAACTCTTTCTCGAGGGACTAATTTATTTTTCTCCTTTTGTGTGTTATACGATGTGAGGCCCTCCCCTCGAGCTAATTTTCACCGAACAAAGGAGAACGTTACAGACGACACAGAAGCGCACACCACTGTGCAAGATCAAAAGAGGTGCATAAGCTCCGTATCCCGCCAAAAATTCCCACCCGTAACAAATCATTACTGCAAAAATGTATTTAAACAATGTCTGAGCACATTGTAGAACTTCTTCTTAGCGTTGTTGTCCAACTTTCGCCGTTTTTTCCACCAAGGCTTTCCAATGATCTCGATTCCATGCATCGTTTACAGACAGATCGGCAGCATTCACGTCGATCTTCACGTTGTCCATCCATCGTAATTTGGTCGGGTGTGTACCAATGAAGGTGATACTATCGGCATGATCTGGACCATCGGGCTCAGGAGCCTTCGAAAAATGTGACCATACCAGCGCAAGCGGGAGGGGACAAGGGAATTGAGGATCGGTCTTGATCTTGTCTTCGTTCCGAATGTGGTCGAACCGCGTGTGTCCCAGGCTCCATCGTAACATCGTCATCTCCATAGACCCATATGCTCTCGTCGTCACTCTTATGTACTTCGTTTTACTTGGCGCATAATGTGCACTTGAGGCTGATCAGCATTTGCTGTCACTAGAGAAACGTTCACTACAGTCCTCCATTTGCACAGCGTTAATTCTAGGCAATTTCTGCCAGCTTTACTGTCGGCTCGCGGACAGATGTGGACCTCAGATACGAATTGGCTGGTCTGGAAAAGGATCTCTTACTGTGATCGAAGACATGGGGGCGGTGTTGCATATTACTCTGTGGCCATGTTGCACCTATATCATGTTTTTTTTGTTGATGTTGAGCCTGAGTCCATGGTCCTTTAGCTGTCCACTGATTGACACGTCTCTCTAATTTCATTTTCGACCGATCCATTAGCAGTATATCATCAGCGTACCCAAGCGTCATCGGGGGCTCTTTTCCGAATTTTCCTCGACGCATAGTCCATACATAGAATGAAGAGTAATGGTGAGAGGGCCGATCCCTTGATGAACTCCAACTGTGACTGGGAACTGTGAGGTATCACCTACAGGTCTTCGGACGGCAGTTGAGGAATTAGGTCAGCTGCACAGCTTCCACGAGTGTATTCGGTCGAAGGCTTTCTCCAAATCCAAAAAAGCCATGTGCAGTGGTCTATTCCATTCCTTCGCTTTTTCCATTCATGCGTCGAGCCACGTGAATGGCGTCGGTGGTTCTGTGCTCTGGACGAAAACCACCTTGGCACATTATAGCTCAAACCCCTGAAAAGTCTGAAAGCCAGCTTAAAAGAGGCTGTGACATGACAGTATGTCACACAGTTCCACGCGGCCGAGTGAGTGGGGCATGGAATTATACCACGGTCGTAAACGTGTTGAATTTGACTATAGGGTCAACGTGGAAATCAGCGCTTGAAAACTGTGAAATGTGAAATGAAATGTGTGGGAGATGTAGAGTGTAAAATGTTATAGCGGCTGTTAATTGACAAGGCAGTACAACACATCTGGTACTTGGCATCATAATTATCAAGTTCTCCGATAAATACAGGTTGCGCCAAAATTACTTGGTCAAATATTCATCGTTATAAAAATGGTAAAACAATACTTTGCGATCCAAATTTTCAACAGCAGAATACTAATTTAGCGCCATTACGAAATAGAAGTTTGAAAAACAAAATGTCTTCCCTGGGATCACATACTTGCCTTCAGACTTGAAGTCAGGTCGTCCAGCGTGGATCTCTGAAGCAGGCCTTGCTTCCCAAGAAGGACTATACGTAACATCCCACTGCTTCGGGACTATAGGATGGCGATTCAGGAGCGCTGATGAAGCTTGAAAGGTCACTGCTGTGTCACCTTCGATCTATGGGCTGATGCAGAACCATGTGGAAACGTGAATGGGCTGGAGTCGAAATCGGATTCTGTTCACGTAATAACTTCGTATAGCATACATGGAAACTTGGTTTTCGTATCTCTCCTCTCTTCCTGGGCGACCGTTTATAGCTCTGACATCCTTGAAACGTTTGATAGTATAGATCACGTGTTTTCTGTTCACGAAACAGTTTTGGCGTTTGTTTTCGATCAGCGACCAAGCTAGCGCGAGTGAATGATCGCAGATCCGAGAAAAAAGGCCTGGTGATTTAGAAAAAAACAGGGGTGTGACTCAAAGCGCTCATGGAAGCCGAAGCACGCAAGAGTTTTGGTGGCTATTTGACGGATAGTGATCACAAAAAATCACTACTTCAAACTATGCAACTTTGAGCAAGTAATTCCAGTGCACCCTGTATTGTCATTCTCATTGATATGAAAACTTCTCCTCTAAATTTCCATGTATTTAGATAATGTTACAAACCGTTCGAAAAAGGAATGGCTGCTATACGAGAAATTCTACTTTTTTCTGTATTTATTGCATTTCTGTTGAATATCAAGCTTGGGAAGGGAGACCTGGTTGCCGAAAGTCAGCAAAACCGGCAACTAGCTCTAACTCTGTTCTCCACCAAAAGAAATTGATCAGATATATATTGGGTTGGTGCATAATATCGTAGCGTTTTTTTGGGCGTATAAATTCAATCAGTACAAGAGAAACCCTAAAAATCGCCTATACCTTTTGAAAGTGCTTTTTTCGCTCTACAAAAATTACTTCGTCATTTCCCTCAAAATTATATTTGTACTCATACATAATGCTTAGAAGTTGGAAAATCCAGACGGCAGAAATCGGCATTTCGACAGCTGTTATTTTTCAGTTCACATAAAGAAAAAAATACCGTCAAAACAAAAGTTCTTCAGAATCCATTGTTCTTATCGAACCTCTCTCTAACCAACCCTACATATTTCACTCAAATTAAGACCGTATTCATGTCGTACAAATTGCGAAATAATGAGGACTTCGAGAACGAGCCCAACATCTTTTTTTCAATTCCAAATCCAGTGACTTTCTGCAAAATACACTGGTGTGCAAAACTTAAGGACGAGGTGGATAATTTGTCATAACTCATTAAGAATTCGACGGAATCGGATGAAACTGTGCAAGCGTGCTGTTAAAAGCCTTGCAGTCATAGACATAAAAAGGGCCCCATAAATACAGCGGTCGGCTTCAGGTTGGAGTCAAAAGGGAGTGGCCACGTAGAACGAAGGTTTGGTGGGACAGGACAAGAGGGAGTGTACTGAGCAGGGAGAAGTTAGTGTGGAATATAGTGGTGTTCTTATCACAGCAGGACTCGGAGACAACACGAGGTTGGTTTCACGCCAAGAACAGTCCCCGGGAAACTGGAAGAGGGAAGATTTTTAACGAGTGTGGTCCAGGAGCTCGATGTTGCTCGTACCACCGTTTTGTACACATAAGGAGCAATATGAACTGCAGCTACTTCTGCCCCTAGAAGAGTAGGTTGGTGGATCACGATTAACTGCAACAGCAGGTGATTGTTACGTTTTGCAACAGGCAAGAATTGATCTACGTCACCCACAGGTTGCAGTTGCAAAAACATTTACCAGGACTGTAAGGCACGTAATCCCAGGCTGAACAGTGGTACAGTGACCGTGTAGGTATGGTCTCTCTGGCCGACCAATAGTATTTGGTGTTCCTTCGGAACCCGCGTATCGGCGCGAACATTTACTAGGTGCCGGGATATTAGCGATGCACCACAAATTTGGTTGTTCGCGTGTTCTTCTCAGTTAAGATCAAATTGGATGTAAATAGTGATTTTGGGCTCACCCGTATGTGGCGAGAGTAGGATCACGTAATGAATCCAGGATCATCGTTCAACATGACTGCTTTGATAGTCCATTCGATACGGTATGAAGAGGCATAAAGTTGCAAGGACGTACCAGCCTCCCAACTCCTGATCGCGAAATGCTTTCTGATCGGCGTTATTGTGACGCTGTACTCCTTACTAATGTGCATCTTTTCAAGGGTGCCTTTGACCTCTACTTCAACCGTGTGGAGGGCAAGGTGCGTCGAGAGCATCGATTAGCCCAAAAGGAAAGCTCTTCGGAATGTGAGGATTTTCCGCCGATTGGTGAAGCCTACCTGCTTTCTCCAGTCAAACCCCATGGAGCACGTGTGACGTGCATTCAGAGAGCTATTGTAGCGCATCCCTATGCACCAACAACTGTCCAGCAGTTTGTCAATCGCGGTCTATAAGGAATGGATCGCTTTTCCACAAAACTCTTAACCAACCTTGTGGCCAGTATTGGAGCACGTGGCAGAGCATGCTTTGCAGTCCGTAGTGTTCATACACCCCATCAAGAACCAGCTCCTCTCTTTTGAATGTCTACCATGAGTTGGAGAAGCCTCACCTATCGACCGCTTCAGACAGGGTATTTGCAGAAAAATGTCTTTTCTAATCGCCCGTTGCGCTTTTCTGTTAGTAACTCTCACTGTACCGCAACATTTACTTCTATGTATGTGCCAAATTTGATTTGATCGACCTAGGTTAGACTAGCAACCAGATATCATGTGAAAGTTGCTTCCGTCCCTAAGTTTTGCACACCAGTGTAGGATAAAAGTCGTAAATAATGGCAAAGTGGACATCCCTGATTAGTTTTATGTTTTTAATTTCTTCACAAAACGTTTGCGTGCAAAAATGAAAAATGCAAGCGCTACGATATTATGCACCAACCCAATACATATACTTCATTCATTCATGACCTCTTCCGAAAAATCGGCTAGTGGGTTGTTCAATAGATCATGTCGCTCTTTTTTTGAACTTGATTTTTCGGCCAAAACTCAACTATTTTTCCTTTGAGGTTATTCGAGTTGTGGATTGGATAAATTGTGATGTAAGCCCAAAATATGACCTAACTGATAATGAAAGTGGGTTCTAAAAACGTTAGCAAGTATAACTGGAGAAAACGCTCAAGGCAGTTATATCACAAGATATAAAACCGACCAGAAAAACCAAATTTGGAAAGAAAATGGCGGCTCCTTTTGGATAACTTTATAATTGAATGTTTATAAGAGGTCATAACTGAGTACGGCGCATATCGTGATTGTCGCCATTCTTTAGCCAATCATTCCTACCATTGCTGTCCAATAATTATAAACAAACAAATAAATAAATATCATTGAACGATTTCTCTCGGAGAAAAACTGAGTGCCAAATTCTTATTTTGCAAGCCTGGCACAACAAATTTATAACTAAAAAAAAGAAGCGAAAGTTTTCAGACAAGTCCCATTTCGTATGGTCCATATAATTTTATGTGAAAGCATGGGATTTTGGAGGAAAAACTTTCATCTGAAGCGACATTACATATTGAACAACCTGATATACTAAGAAAGAAAGGGAAGCAGGAACTCAAGAGTATCCTTCACGATGGAAAAAAAAGCAAGTAGAAAGGGAAGACAAAGGCAATGGTGCAACGGAGAAGAGACGCCACAAGTCTTAAATTATGATGGACTCAGGATAGTTGAGCTAGTGATTCTGAAGAATGTATTTTGGAAAACAAAAGTCAACTAGATGGAATCAGAGCAAACACGATTAGATTGATTTGATAAAATGGAAGAAGTTAGAACGTTACCATGCTTGCAATTTGTGGGCTGTGGCAGGAATCGAACCACTACAGCGTCATTGTTCCCGACAAGAGGCCCGCCGCACGGCAAGAAAGCAGAGTCAGTGGGCAAGTCGCAACGCACTATTCAACTGGGGCCTACAATGGCACATCTGTTTGACTAGACGCGCAGTCACTACAGAACGCGCTGCAACTCGTCCGCTGACTCTGCCACGCGGCGGGCCTCCTGTCGGGCACCCACAGCGCCATAACAACGTGCAAAACTTTACTCATTTATTACATGCTACTCGTATGTGTAAACAAAAACAAGATCAACAAAACACAACCTTGGAAAAAAAACCTTAGTGAACATAGGCGAATAAAAACGATTGAAGAAAATACGATAGTAAGTTGTTGAACTTTGTTCAGATAATGAGATACTTTGCTTTTGAATGCGGAGAAAAAGCCTGATATTGGTACTTTTTTGCCCATTTCCAAGCACTCCTAAACGCACGGAACGGTTGGAAGAAGTTGGTGTTGAAGAAGTAAATCAAGGTCACAACCCTTATCTTGGATTGGATCAGATTATAAAAGTTGCGACTATTGAGATCGACACGAAAATTGAGAATATTGTACCGAACCGAGAACTTTGTTCCTGATGATCCCACGGGTAATGGTTTTGTATGTAAATTCTAGCGTCCTGAGGAACGGTTTCCTCGGAAAGTTGTTTTGGATCTTTTCTAGCTTACTGGCACAACGTATTTATTTATTTATTTATTTATTTATTCAATACGCTGTGTAAGACAACGTTAGAAAGGAAAATACGCAATAAAACTATAACATCAACGAGAAGCTGAGGTAAATATAAACAAGTAAATCAGTGGAGAAGTGTTGCCGATTATGCCTTTTATGCCTTAGTTACGAGTTTTGCTATTGAGCGTCTGAAGGACGCCCGAGAGCTCGGGAAGCAATTGGATTTGCTATAACGTAAATATGCAAGACCTGCCCTAACCGTGAAAAAGGTACGCCTGATGGAAGTTTTCGGCCTGGGAAATGACAATTTGAGGTGACCACCCCTAGTGTTAGATGGAATAAGGCTGTAGAATTGTGAAATTTTAACCGCGGACTTGTCGCTGAGAAGATTGTGAACCATGCATAAATCGAAGAACAAACGTCTAGACTGAAGGGAAGGGAGATCATAAAATTTATTCCGTATTTCAGCCTTCGGTATTCTTGAATACAGGAAGCCACCGCGACGAACCAGCATTTTTCTAGTGTAATTATTTTGAACCTTCTCAATCAGTGCAATGTCTTTCTTTTTGTGCGGCGAGAAAACCACAGTCCCATTCTCAACAAGTGGGCGAACATAAGTTTTGTAAACTGGGACGAGAGTTTTGCTGTCCTTGGTTGTCAAAGCTTTGAAAATTTGATAGGTGCGGTGGCACGCTTTCTTGTAAATTTGCTTGAAGTGTGGAGAAAAGTCAAGCTTATTATTGTAACGGAACCCTAAGTCTTTAATCTCATCGACTGTCAAAATCTGTTGTCCATTTATGAAGTATGTGGACGGGCAGGGGGGGCCTAGGTGCATGTGAAAGGTTTTGGAGGAAGATAGAGGAATCTGCCAGTCTACAGACCACTGTACAAGACTACTGATGGAGGACTGCAAGGACTCAGCATCCTGTGGGGAATTGATCACTTTATAGAATTTCAGGTCATCAGCGTATTGCTTACAAACAACACCATAGAACGTAGGCAGAAGATGGATACGATTCCCTTTTGGACTTTGGGGTAGAACCTCAGAGTAGAGTCATAGCTGCTGCACTCCCGTGCGTGTAAATCGCCCGAAGAAAGTGCTGATACCATGCTGAGACAGCTTCAACAGCTGCAATTTTTCCGTCCGCAGCAGGTTGTTGTCTGGCGCACTCTCATCTGTTACCCTCACTTGGCTCATACTGTCCTGCCTGCGATTTATGTATCACTGCCTTCGCTAGACTGCGAAGATATGCAAACTTTTACCATGAGTGTTTTCGACGAATTCTTCTGCTTTTTTCTTAAGTGCTGGCCCATTTCACACCAATACTGTGGTCATTATTCGTGGGCAAGAAACACGCCGGTTTCATTAACTAAGGGCATGATATTCAAGCTGCGGAAAACTGGCTCCTTGCACCATGGGTCTGCGCATAAGCGCGCTGCTATGCAGGAAAAGAACAGACGGTCTGTAAGTCGAGGACATGCCCTTCAGTTGTATAGGACTAATCCCGTTGTTCTTATTCTTGAAGTAACACATGTTGTTCGAGGTAGCGTAGTAGCCAAATATGGCACAAATGCCAGCGTCCCTTTTTGAAAACTATTCAAGCCTATTTCATATTGTCAGAGCTATTTCTGGGAGAGTGCCCTCAATATGCCAGGGTATATGACTTATTCGGTGCTACGAAATAGGTCTGCCCGACACAGTCGTACAGATGGGGACATCAGGAAGCTCTCAAGTTTTCTTTTCAAGTCCATCTATTAATGACCGCCTGTATTGCGACATATCGAATGTGGGCAGGGAATGCCTCATATTGGGTCTGAGACAGAGTTGAACAGGCAGGAAAGCAGATGAAGTCACGCATTTTGCAAACATTTAAGGGCGGTTATGCCTGGAAGCAGGTGAATACATGGTCGAGAAATCTCGATCATGCTCGGGCTTTGTGGCAGGAATAATGAAATGAATGCGACGCGCTGAGAGACAGGCGGCTTCGCGCAAGAAGCTGTTGCCGCAACGATGAGCGATGTTGTTGAGAAGTAAACTAACGTTTCCCGCTTTCTAACTTAATTTATATGTCAGTTGATTGCTTTTAATACGTCACATACTACATTTTATGTTATGTTTATTACATGACAAGCATGTACAAATCGCCAGTAGGCGGGGGAACACAAAAGGCAAGAAAACACGGCAAAAAAAAACAATGACAATGACATGAAACAACAGTAAACATAGAAGAATGTTGCGAGATTATTGATGAGGAGAAATAAACGGAAACGGGTAGTGCGTCAACGGAGAACTTTATATAAGTATGATTTGAGCATTTTTATAGATATCGGTAGCGAACCTTTTTTCATCAGCTGCTTATATGCTGACCCAGCGCGATTGACGAAGAATTGATGCCTAAGATTGGAGCGCGCTGCACTGAAGTTTATCTTAGTTCGACTTCCTCTAGTTACAGATGGTAACAGTTGGAAGAAGTTGCGACATGAAACCTTTACTTGGCCGTTGATAATTTTACAGACCATCACGACATCATTAACTTTTCTCCTTAAAGCAAGAGTTTTAAGTCCTAAATGTTGGTTACGGGAATAGGAGTCAGGTACTGACCGATAAGAAAAACCATAACAACGAAGGAACAATTTACGAGTGAAACTGTTCTGAACTGCTTCGAGTCGCTTAATGCAAGATTGTTTCGAGGGGTTAAACACTGTTGTCCCGTACTCAAGGATAGGTCTGACGTAGGTCTTATAAGCAGCAAGGAGAACTTTTGGGTTAGAAGAGGAAAGAGCTTTGAATAAATTATAAATTCTTCGTTGGGCAGCAATATAAACATACATTATACGACTCTGGTGTCACACCACACCAGAGAGACTGAGTGCAATACAAGTAGTGGCTATGGTCTTGGACCTCTATTATTCCTGGCCCATGAATAAGAATCAAGATGAAAAGAATAAAACGGTCACAACCCTTATCTTGGTTGGATCAGATTTATAAGCTTGGCGATCTTTGGACTGGCTCGCGGAGATCTGAAGAAATTGTAACAGGCCGCGTACACACCGTATATACTTTTGTATCTCCTGAATGATCCCACGGTAATGGTTTTTGTATGTAAATTTTAGCGTTTGAGCAATGGTTTCCTCGAAAGTGTCCTTGTTTTGGATCTATTCTAGGCTTACTGACAACGTAGGCACGTCGAATAGAAATGTCGAGGGGTACCCAGATTCCCTTTTTGGACTTTGGGTGGAAAGCCGTTAGCAAAGCTTGCACTCGTATAGTGAGGAGTATTTGAGTTATGTAATAGAATGCGAGCAAAAATTTCAATAGGAAAAAACCGATAGCCAATGCAAGGATGGCTGAGTGATCAGTTCAAGAAGCAGCTGCTAATTCTTTTCGTTCCGCAGCAGGTTGTTGTGGCGACAACATTCACTCCATCTGTTACGCCCTTACTTGGGCATGACTTAAGTTTGAGCTCCATGTACTCTGCTCCTGGATACCCATACAACAAAGGAGGACAATAAAATCGCGACCTTTGATGATGTCAGTGACTGCACTGTCTTAGCTCTGTTCATAAGAGTGTTATTCACTATTAAAGTGCACACAACTTTACCATGAGTGTTTTCAGAGAACGGAGAGTTCCTGCTCGGCTTTTGTACGTACGTGTTTATACCTAAAGCAATGATGCACGACCCAGGATGCGATCCCCGGACCGCGCGTGTGGTGAGCGTGCCACTTGCCACTACACCACTTCCACCCGAATATACATGTACTTTTTGTTTTTCGGAGCAACCTTATTCCTCACTGACTGCGCTAGGTCAAAAATGTAAAAGGGCGCTATCGTAAGATACTGGGGTATCGTGGTGGCAATGGAGAAAAATGGCTCACATCCTAGAATCCCCCGTATGTAGCGCTAGCCCCCGAAAAAAACTTTTTCATACTTTTGAACGTCAGTGTATGTAATGCACCTACTGATGACATTCGTCTCAGGCCAATATAACGCAATATGTCCAACTTTTCGAGGATTTTACGTCAGCCGATAATAGAAGCTTTATCTCTCCAAAACAAATTAACAGATTTCCTTTGTTTGACCGAATGGACAGTTTTGAAGTGCACTTGATTCAGATTTTTCAACTTTTTTCTCAGATTTTTTCTCTTCCTTCGTAACTTTTTCACGGAAGCAATTCAGCGAAATGAGAGACTCTCGCTGTTAAATGCGTTGGCGACAATGTGTCGCCTTCCGCCGGGCAACACTTCTACTGCCGCGTGGGCGATGTCCCTCAATGTCGGACGACACCCCATGGTTCTTGAATGGGCAGATTTTTTATTCTTCCTGAGCAGTTATTTCTTTACAAGGTCAACACAGTTCATCTATATCACAAATTTTACCTTTACGGTTTGATTACAAGAATAACAGTAAGCACAACAAAAAAGATGTTTCAAGGTCATTCTCTCAGAGTCAAAATTACCAATTTTTGAACGTATAGAGCTGACTGTTTGCCGGCAGTTAGCTAGTTTGTTGGAGAGCTTTACAAACAGAGAACCGGAGGCAACCGCATTTACGGATTCTGGAGTGAGGAGCTCTTTTGAGCCTAGTCCAGAATCCCTACGTGACCAACCGAGAGGATTCAGTGTCCTAACGAAGTGGACAGCGAAGGTTTGAGACAAAGGAAGCCTCCTAAATTTTTCTATCAAGTTTCAAACCTTTTGGCGTAAATGTTGATGTAGATGCGCCACACCATTATACGTATTTTTCGTAAATTGAAAAAGGGCGTGGTCCTACGCGGCCGACACGAGAAAAGTCGCCTGTTCGCCGACGTGTTAACAAAAGATACACTGATGTTCAAGCATACTTCGGGTAAAGTTCAACGGGAACATCGTATGACCTTAGCTCAAGCACAGAGATCGTGAGAGTATAGAAGAGTAGATAGACCTGTACCAGCAAGGCATTGTGCATTTGTATGTTACACCTCTCAAATGTCTCAGCGATTTTGCGGGGAAACAACATGTGTGGCGCATACTACTTAGATTGAGTTTGATCGAAGAAGAGCGTTTAGTGTTTCTCACCGACTAGACAAGTGTACATACAAGTGCCATTTTAAGGTGGTCACCAAAATTTTTTTCTGTTTCTGGACTAAATCTTACTGAATGCCATGCTATGTAATGCTAATATTATATACATATGTTATGAATTTACTATTAAGCGGGTAAAAATTGTCCATCGGAGCAGTTTTTGGACATTCTGATGATTCAGGCTGAAGAAACTCCGCAGCTCTTCAGTCTTCTGGCACCATACAATAATGGCGAAAGCTTTCAGCCAAGCTAAGAAATCGCCTGTTCACAAAAAATCTTTCAAAGGGGAATTGTGGGGTAGACAGTTGTTGAAGTGGTTGTAGCGCTTCTGAGTAAGTCAGTGGTTCCAAGTTCTGCTGTTGAAAAAAGCTTTGTTCGAACAGCATCTCCTTACAAAAGGTTACGGCAATTGGAAGTAACAACGCTAGGCGCAAAGTTCTTTAGGGAAACTCTCCCGGACTTCTTCCTGACTTAAGGAATAACACTATTGAAAAGCCGAACTCAAGGGGATTTTCATTGCCCTCCTTTTTGTAATGTGTGGTAGAGAGGAACCTATGCCCAAATGAGGGAGAATGTTTCAGTTCTCTTCCAGTACTCTCTCGAACCTTGCAGGAGGGAAAACTAATATGTTTCAATCTCAACACCAACAAATTTCAAAGCATTTTCCATGGCTGGCATTTCGCTAGTGTGGTAACAAGAGTGAGGGCCTGGCCCCAGCGTGTGGGTAGGGCAAACCAGCCCTTTTGGCATTTCTGCTGGGGCCGTATGCTGAATATTTGGGAGGGGATGGGGTCCTCGACGGTAGACGGACTACTTCAACTCAGTCCTCAAAACCTCAGGACTAAGCCTTAAAGAGAGGACGGACCTGCGAGAGAGCGCAGGTCCGTCCTCTCTCCAAGGCTTAGTCCTGGGGTAAGCAAACCAGCCCTTTTGGCGGAGCTGCTGGACCTAGCTGCACCACTTCGTCATCTCTCCTACCGTACCGACCGAGTTCAAGTAGTCCGTCGACCTCGGGGACCCCATCCCCTCCCCAACATTCAGCATACGGCCCCAGCAGAAACGCCAAAAGGGCTGATTCGATTATCTCGTGGGTAGGTATGGAGCCTTCGGGTTAGCGCGAGAATGCATCCCACTAAAGCCTAACCCTGGCTTGTCTGTGACAGTTCAAGCACCAAGTTCCGAATAACGAGTACTCCAGCAAAGGACACTTATGGTGACAAGTTCCCCTTAAGTTCCCTGCGGGAGATGATTCAACTGGTCGTGCTGACTTGTGTCAATAACAATAATTCTATTTCGTCTGAAGTTTCCGAAAAGCCTGCAGGCTACGGTTTGCTGTGATCACCGCCTGAACTTTAGTTGTGAGTGCACTTTGAACACATCTTCTCGGATAATAAATACTGTGTCCAAGTTATTTTTGAACACATTGTAACCTGGTATTGTATTGTGGCAAGAAGTAAAACTGTGAAAATGTGCGATAGTGATGGCCGTTTTTATAACACTATCATCGCTGGGCTCTGCTATGGAACGAATTCGCTTCAAGGCTAAGCCTACTACATCTTTTTACATTGAATGGTCTCTGAGACCGGAAAAATATTGAAGTGATTACCTAATCATTTGTTCAGGAACAATTAGTTTTATTCTCTCTGTTAATCGTAGCACATTTATTTCTTCTGTGCATTTAGCGCTAGAGAGCGCAGGGCTAAGTACGCTAACGAAATTGAGACATCTGTAGCTAATGTTGGCCAGTAAGGAAAACAAGAACAACTGAAGTGATTAAAAAACCAAGGTCATCTTTTGTGTTTCGGCATGTATGATGCCCCGCGCCCCCAGCTAGCCTAGGTGTTTTCTGCGGTGGTTCATGTCAACGGACACTCAACCCACGCATCATGGCTATTATAGGAAATAGGACGCTGAGGTGACACGCGTCCACTTGTGAAAGTGCAGACGATAGTTCTTCTTTAAATAATGCCACCATGTCTGCAAGAAAATCCCAGGTTACAAGGGGAGAACAGGTTGAAAGACTAATAAAAATAACAACGGTTGAACTGGTAGCTGTCTGTGTTCACTAAAATACCAGTACATCATAGCCCCGTCAAGTGTAAACGACCTACTACGGAGTATACCCCAAAAACCCCCTAAAAGTCCTGGAGAACACCAAATTTGGGGTAAAATCGCCTTCCCGTGTTCTCTCTCTCATACAAATGACATACAAGCACTACAAGTGGGTTCTACAAAGTTCAGAGCAACTGCAGCCCTGCTGTGGGCCAAAAACTCTGCCCAGGGCCAAAGGCATATAGCCCTAAGGCGATAAGGCGATCTAGCGTAATGGCCACATTTTTCATTTGGCTTGATGAACGGCTATTAATACGGTTTGTGTGCGCATGCGTGTGGTCTCATGAACAAACGCTGTTCGAAATTTACAGTTATTTTTAACCCGACGACCTGGTTCCAATTCTACAAACAAAAGCGCCATTTCGTCCCATCCCATTCATTCTATGGGATATAAATAAAGAAAAGTAAACAAACAAATATATATGAGTAGTTAGTATAGGCGTTAACTAAAGTGTAAACTAGGTGTATGTTATAGATGTGCTTAGGGAGGGCGCATATGTATCTGCTAAGCAAGTCTAGTTTCCGTCTGGTGGAAAATTTTTCGCTTATCGTCGTCAGTGCACTCGAATCTAGATCACCCGCTCTACCGTACATTCGTGGGTGTTTCCGGCGTCACCCGCCCACTTCTCATATACCCCGCGCACAACCCAACCCTCCCCTTTTAAGAGCGATTTGCCTCTGACCTTCCCTCATTCCTGGCCAGGTCATTTTTTATCCCTCGTATTCGATTCTGACCTGAGGAAAGATCTCATTTTTCTGTCCAATTCAATGCAGCCACCGCTGCTAATCAGCGTTTGGCTCATACAGGTCAGTTCTTCATACAGTTTCCATTCCAACGCTTTCCATTTCCTTCTTTCGTAATGCGTTCAGTGTGGTAAACTTTTGTGATCGGTTACCGATAATGTGCTTCATTGCTAAACTAACAAGTTGTGGCTACCGATTACTTCTGATTACGGTGTATATCACTTATTTGTCGGAATTTCCGCCATCGTACCAGCTTCTACCAAGCGCTGTGCTATTGTGTACTGACAAAGCAATCGTTGAAAAACTGCCTGTACAGCGTAATCGACGCGATGACTAGAGTAAGAAATCTCGACGATATTGCTAGCCAACTTTGACAGTCAAGAGCTCAGCCTTGAGTTTCCGCACAGTTTCATTAAGACGGCGGACGATCAATGCGCTCTTTTTCGCATCGCAGCAGTCAAGGGCACTGTCGGTCTGGGTAATTCGTGAATGTCGCGCTATCGCGCTGCAGTAACAATTTATCACTCATTCACTAGCAGAAAGTATGCTATCGTTGATTTTTCGACGAACGAGGGGGAACCGCGGACGCATCGTGTGTGTCTTCATTGTGTCACTGGGAAGTCGAGAAAAAACCGCTTTCGGTCAGCTACTTCACCACTTTTCTCATTTGGGACTGTACTGGCGAGGTTACCCAAGGCTGGACGCTACTCTTACCTCGAAATTGGCCCGTCTACTTCCAAGGATTACTCGCACCATAATCCATGAAGTTGGTAACTTTCGACAAAATGAGGAGTGTAGATGTTTGTTTACTTCAACCGACCACCCATGAGAAACGGCCAAATATTTACTAATACACCATCTGTAGTAGTCGGCCAAGTTTGAGAAATCATTAAGCCTGTGTAGACGCCAGATCGAGGCTAACACTTCCTAGTGGACCTAATGGCACTGCCAGACAGTCAGCTGTAGATATTTCTACAATCCTTGCAGTTTTTGCAGTTTTTATAACGCTAGACAGCTCAAAACTGCCCATATCGAACCATCTGTCAGCTTGCGTTCGCTACGCAATTTTTCTTGGATTCTCTGCTCTTCTTCGTGACGGAGAACAGATCCCTCAATCATTTCTCTCGGGGTGTGTTCCACTTTTTAAACATCTAACGTGTTGTTTCACTAAAACTTCGACCCCCGTCCGTCTCATCTTAGCCTGCCTAATTGTCCTAGGGTCGCTATGGCTGTACAATGTGAGCGCAATAATGTGGTGCAATAGTACAAATAATAATGATATTCAAACAAGCTTTTGTAGGACTGGGTGAAGTGTGGGATGCTGTGAACTTTGGAGGGGTTGCATTCAAAACAAGACCTATTCCTATTGACAAACCCACGAGTGAAGGGCTGAAATGTGTGCTATTGAGACCAGTTGTGAATGATGAAAGAACAGCCTTCAAAACCAATTAAGGAGTCACTAGTGAGTATCGTGAGAAGCTCTCCTCTCGCAATAGGCGGAGCATAAAGCGTTTAGCGCATAACGTGATGAGTCACATCACACAGAGATGATGTGTTGTGTCCTTTCGCTGTAACGGAGATATTGGGCTTTTTGCCCTTTCACATGTGTCGATTCCCTCGCTTGGCATAATGTCGAGGGTAAATGTCCCTTCGCGCGAATAATGTGGCGATGAAAGTACAGTTGGCAAGGAATTCGTGTTCTGGGGGGAGAGGGGATCGCCAAGCTTTTCACACTTTCGGGGCTAGTGTTACACTTTCTTCTTTTCTTTCTACCCCCGTCCTCACCCCCCCCCCCCGAACATGGTGAAAAAATAGAGTGGTGCGGGAGCGGGAGAAAAAGGCACAATAGAACCCGTTTGTCTACAGCTACTTTTTCACCCGTGTTTGATCATCTATGAAATCGAACCATCAGCCAACGCTGTTCGATTTGTGGCCTGACTTTACCTTGAGCTATCGCGAAATCGATCTTCTCCCTCTATATCCCGGGAAATAGCCCTGTGCCTGCATGAACCCTGTAGGGCTAGCAATATTTGTGCATATAGGCGGGTGTTGCGGGTGTGTATACGATTTCTCAGTCGTTAAGGTTGAAGATGAAATTTTCGAATGAAGCGACGACGGAACCAACGACGAACGATAAATACAGTGGCAGCGAAGCATTCAAAAAACAGTAACCAGACGCTGACGACCTTCAGTAGCCGAGTGCTGAGATGCGCTGACAAAAACAACAGTGGCGAACACGTTTATAGACATGGTTCATTATTCAGATGCATGGCGTTCCTGTATTGGCAGAAATACGCGAATAGTGTCGATATGGGTGGCAGTAATCCCCCATGAATCCGTCCCAACTCACGAAATCTAGTACGAATGTGTATGAATGTGTACGAATGTGCCATTAAAAACTAGCTGCCTATATTGTTCGCTGGTATAACGTAGCCAAAAAAGCTTCAAATCAGATAATTCTTGGTTATTGCTTATTTTAAAAGCTTGATTGGCCAATCAACCCTTCTAACTTTTATAGGGAGTGCTGGGAATAGTGGAATTGTTCACGACACCTGAACTGAGGTACACATTTGGAGTGGACAAGCATAGTGATGGTAAGTTATGAAGCATGTTCCGTTCTTTCTCCCTGGGGAAAATTGCACGTCTCATGGCACGAGGGTTCAGGTGAAAAACCCGTGTTGCTTCCTCACTTTTTGGCAACTGTAATGTCGTAACGAGAAACGCTTGACATGGTGGCATGTGTTTAGAAAACGATTAGCATGGCAATAGTACGGGCTCAAGTGTTGTTGGGAACGAGGGGGGTGCAAGGTCAGCTGCCACGTTGTGCCGATTCCGGTACCTTTACGACCCTCGTTGGAGGGACTCCCCTCATACAACCCCCTAGCGGTCGATAGTGTAGCTGCATCTGCCATCACCACATGGTGGCACTCTCCAGCTCATCCAGCAAAATTACTGTTGGAGGACGGCTGGAGGAGGGGGGTGGGGAGCCGCACCATATAATTCTGAAGCAGCGAAATTCGGCTGATTAGTCCATTTTAGCATAATTTTCCATCACCTAAACTTTCTCTAACAACCCCGAATACGGCCCGCTGATCCAAAAATCATAAAAATGACTCCCCCTGCTCCATTGGTCCCAACTGCGGAGACGCTTGACCCTCGGACGGGCAGCGGGACATCGCGGTGCAGAGCCCTTAGGCCCTTCAATTCATTTTCGTACTCACCTAGCCCATTCTTGCGCTTCTCCTGGTTCACCCACCCCGAAGCTTCCCCTCAGCAAGAAATGGGGTTGTCGAAGGAACCACGGACTACTGCACCACGATGCTCTCAGCCTTCAAACTGCCGTTCCGTCCCAATACGATCTGGGGCTATCGATCCAGCAATGCTCTTGGGCAGTATTCATTCCAGTTCTTTCAGTTCCTCCTCACCTCGAAATCGATCCGAAATTATCTTATAATGAAGACGGCTCTTTGAGCGCTATAGAATTTCAGGTGAATTTTAAAAATAAAGATTTTGTAGTGAACAATCCAGAAGTAGCTGTTGAGATCCACTGAATTTTCGTTCATGTCCTTAATTTTGTTCAGGCGAACGACAAAACGTACCAGTTTGAATTACAACCGACACTAGGACGGTTACTAGGCGAACAGTTTACTGTTATTCATCGAAACTACAAACGGGGAGGTGCTGATCGATTATTGATTTAAAATTTCGTTTGCTATTGAATTTTTTTTTGCAGGACGCTTATTGTTGAATCCAAAGCCTTCGAATTGCCACTATCGATTTTCTTCGAATGAAACGCACGGAGCGATCAGTAATTGCGATGGGCGGATTGTAAGTGAAATTATGCTGTTTTGAGTGAAAATCTCGACATTTTGACGGCAAAATGGCAAATGGTCTCATCGTTGATCTATCAGCAGAGATTCTTTGGAAAAATGGCTGATTTCAAGTGAAATATTCCAGGAACTTCTTGGTTAAAAATATGAATGTTATCAAGCTCATTCTCAATATTCATGATCAATTAATGTTGCCTCCATTTGAAAAAAGGCTATAATAGGAGTTTGTGATAATTGTTGATAATAATTGATCTTTATGGAGTAACACAGCTATCGTATCTTTTGTTATTGTTCAAGTGGCTATTTATCATTCACAAAAGTTTGTTGAGAGTTCAACAGCCGCCGGAATCTTGCGACTTTTGTGACCTTAAACGCGCGGGCAGAGTCTGATGTGTCATCACCTGTCTGTGTCTCGCATGTCCTCATGCTCTCTCACCTCTGAATCTGTTTCTTCGCCAAAGCAGTCAGAGTATTTAAGTTTATTCTAGACTAGTGCAAGAAAATGCCCTTGTTTCAAGTATTTTCGGCGGAATCTTTTTCGTTTTTTATACTGGCGGTCTTTTTCGCGCTCATGTTTCATTTTCGACCGCAACAACACGAAAAACCTAGGCAACTGTTGAATGTCCTTCCAGATTAAGAGCTGTTCTTCAAGAAGAAAACCAAACAGGATGCCCTTGAACTGAAAAATTTCAACAAGTCGATAGCTTTGATCTTGCCGCGTTGCTACTCAGAGCGCTCAGATTAGTGAAGGATTACTTTTAAGAAAGTGCACATACGAGGGAGATTAGTACGGAATTATTCTAAGAAAGGGCACCCCAAGACACCAGCTGAAGTTGTTTATCGAAGTAACGTTTTTGGTGAACTTCTTATAGCCTTGAGTAGTTAGTCAGAACAAAACTCGTCCAAGTTCCATATCCCAACAGCCCTCCTTCAGGTCTCTGAACTGTCCATATTTCACATGAGGCCCAGCGATTAACTTCAAAAACTTCACCTGCCCATGGCCTGTGAGTAAGAGATGCAGCAACATTTAACAACTGACCGGTTTGGGAGGCAAGATAGGATCAAATGAGGGTTTTCGTGGGAGCTCAAGGTTTTGTGGCAAAAGCTGTGATGGGCAAGAAAACATTGATACAGCTCCCTTCCCAGTTGTTCATCCCTTTGAAAGTGAAGCAACCAATAGGGCGGCGCAGTGGTAAAACGTGATAATAGGTGATATCTTGCGATTTTTATCGGTAACGTATCGTCACTTTTCTCAGAGCATCGTCATGATCTCTGCTCTTGCTCTGAGCACTCCGTGCTGTTATTGCGTGAACTTCTCCCTCGAACCTATGAAGCCCCTTCCTTTCTCTTCCACCGCATCGTTTCCGTTTCTATGATCCACACAACTCCATTTTAAGAACGCGTTCATTGGTGTGGTTCAGGACGGGTCCACTGGTGTGGCGCGACTAAGGCGGGCTTAAGAAGGGTTATGGCCAGACGAATTCTGGACAAGTTTCACAACTTTTTCAAATTTTTTTATAGCGGTTCGCTTTTTCCAATAAGCTTCTGGATGCGACAGAGACTCTGTTTTCTCTACTCTCCAAGAGGCGATTTTTTTGTTTCACTAAGCAATTATGCTTCCGCCACCACATCAAACTTCATGCAATCATGAGGACTTAAAGGCAGTGTACGCGATGGTTAAAGGGCACAGCAATCACAGTGTCGTCGTTAAGCATGGTAGAAGAAGGGCATTGGGAGGTGGTCCGTGCCACTTCCCTAGCACGCTGAGGGATATGGTCCACCGATAACGTCTAATGACGTCATCAAAACCGCTCCATCCTCCCGTCATTGTACTCGCTGCCTTCAACAATACGCCCAATGTTAGTGGTGGTCACAAAATTCTCGACATCCCTGTTACACGGTCCTGGGAAATCAACATCGGAACCTTTGGGGCACCTGAAAAGTGTCACAAGTGTCACTTGTCAGAAGTGTCAAAAAAGAAAAGTCACTTTAATCACTTCATCAGGAACATTTGTGGAGGTTAGCCTCCGAAGTGTTGCCAAGGGCTGAAGAACAGCCCTCCTT